AAACTACATACAAGTGCAATTCACATAAACACAGATGCCAGATATTAAAAAGAAATACACCCAGTGCACCAAACAGAAGCAGACACGCACTGACCTGCAAGTCCTCAGAGACCGCCGTCGAAGACTGACCCTGACATGTTACAGTGAGAGAGAGTGTGTGTGTGTGTGTGTGTGTGTGTGTGTGTGTGTGTGTGTGTGTGTGTGTGTGTTGTCAGGGTTCAGCTCACTAACACTGCAGGTGGTTCAGTGGCTTTTGGTATTTCCTCTTAATTGGTTGATTTGCAACCCACTCGAAAACTGTTTGGATTTTTGACACCTGCTCACAGCTGACACACAAAACATACACACAACGCATACACACACACAGACGATGCCACAGACATGTTAATGCATAAACACACACGCACACACACAGATGCAAAGATCCATAAATGCCCTCACGACTCATGAATATACACACAAACGCAGACGGCAGCACAGTGCAGGCCTCTTTTCTCTGCATAGCCTCGGCACCTCCACCCGGCTCTCATTAATACACACTCGAATGACAGCTCGCTGTTGCCATGGCGACCCCCTACCTGTTGCCAAAGGAGGCTGGTAGTTTAGGGGGCTTGTGAACGCTGCTCAAAACTATTGCAGCTCAATTTTTTTATTTTTTTTTAGCTGTGTGTCAGGAAGCTGCCAGTGCTGCTCCAGGCACGCACAATTAACCACTTTGGAACAGAGAATAGTTTCATTCATTTCAATGCAATTCAATCTGGCTCACTTCAGTGCAAAGCTATGCCCTGTTCTGTGCGTTTTGTTATGAGAGAGGCTGAATTCTCCTCAGGAGTAAAATAGGCCTACTCCAATATATGATGCTCTATTCTAATTCTTCTCTTCATTTTCGTACTCGTCTGTTCGACGTTATTCATTCCGGGAAGATAAGATGAAACTAACTTGAGGAAATTGCTTTGCTTAATTCATCATTCCGAGCTGCTCTATTCTAATTAAATCACTGCATATTCTATTCTTGCTCTGCTATTCTTCTTCGCCACACCATTCTATTTTATATTGTTAACAAAGGTTTTATACACTGCTGGAAAATGGCTTTCTGGGCTAATTGTGCCGTGGAGGGATTCTTCTTGCTTCTCAAGAGGAAGTTTAGGAACTATACAGAAACTGTACATCCATTAAAAATACATGAAATATTCCAAATCAGCACTATTAAGAGAAGATGCTTAAAAATCACACCCTTGCTGCAGTTTCTCCCACAGGTTTTTATGCACCACGATAATTTCAAACTCTACAGTTTTTTTCTTTTGGTCTATATTCTGCTAATGTGTGGTGTTATTTTTTTAATGACCCATGGCTTACATGCCTGTGCAGCCATGTTGGCCAGGGATTGCTGGGGTTAGGGTAGGATGTAGGGTTTTAGCGTCTTTATGTGTAAAGTTTGCATGTTCTTCTGTATGCGTGGGTTCCCTCCAGGTACACCAGCTTCCTTCTAAAGCCCAAAGACACGCAGTTAGTGGGGTTAGGTTAACTGGTGATTCTAAATTGCCAATAGGTGTCAAGCTGAGTGTGAGTGGTTGTCTGTCTCACTGTGTTAGCCCTGCGTCAGACTGGCAACCTGCCCAGGATGTTTCCTGCTGCTCGCACTATACATACACATACACATGCGCACACAGAGGTATGGACCTAAATGTTGTATATTTAATTGGTAGTTAAATGTTGACCTTTTATAATATCAAAGGTCAAGCATATCCATGTTACACCTATATAGGTGATTTTTCTCGCTTCAGCACTGTGTGGGTGTGTACAAATGAATTAAAGCTGAAATCTCAGTCACTCACTTATTTAGTTGCATTCTTTAGGGAGGGGATTTTTTTACCTTGATCATTGTGATTTTCACATGGAGTCTAGTGAGATGACTTTCCTTCAGCCTGAGCAAAGGTCAATCAAAAGTCTGTTACACTGTGTACGAAGACGGTGCTGAAAGTGACAACTGATAATTAAATGGCACCGTCTTGCTATAGTCAAAGTGGAAGTAGATGCTCATATTAAATGTTTTTAAAGTTTAAAATAATGATGGCATATGCACAAATAATCTCAGGATTCAGACTGCTCTCTTTTTGCACTCCTGGTTTTGGTTGATTTCAACAAGACTTTTCCCTTTATCGGTTACTAGATGAGCTGCACCCCAAGCACAGCACATGTTCTGTCGACTTAAATTTTTATCCAACACTTCCTGCTTTGACCTAGCTACTCTGCAGGTTTTCAAAGTTAATCAAAAATGCCTTTACTGTGGTAAAGCTAAATGCACTTAGCAACAAGGAATCCACATAAAAAAAAATCTTTTTTGAACCCAACAGGAGGTAAAGGCACACGCTCACTTCACAGAGGGCTTTCATCAACAAAGCTCAGTATGAAGCTAGTTTTTCAGTTATGCTAATGCTAACACTATTCCACCTTAAAAGCATTGTTTTACATAGTAGATAAATCCAGCGGCACACTTCAACTTTAGTATAAGATAAATGGGTAATTTTTCAACTTTGACTCAAACAATTAAAAAAAAATACAAATACAAAGCTAAAAATGAACATTTGTTTTTACCTAAACAGGCAGCAGACTTTGTGCTATTTCATAATTCAGACATGATGTCTAAAGACAAAACTTCTCAGAGGGCCGGGTCTGGTTTAAAGGGTTGCATTTCTATATAAAACAAAGAAATGTCTCCTTTTCATTTAAATTCAGACTAACAAAATGAAATATAGCGATGAACAGTGTTTCGGTCAATGCAACAATAGAATAAGACAAACGAGAGCATTTTAAACTTAATAAAGCAGCAGTCACGGTCTATAATGAAGTGTATTCCAGCAGCCTTTAGCTTCAAACACAAGCCACCCCACCCCCCTGGTCTGGTATATCTCATATTCTTTCATTTGATTACAGTAAAAGTCCGGAACAAAATCAAGGCTTTTCTCATCATGCACTAAAGTTGCACCATCCTTCCTGGAACAAAGTAAGCTAACTGGAGCTTAAATCAATGTGATACAACCCTGCACACAGAGGGTTCCCGTGCAGAGTCGGCCAACACAAGCAACTCGTGAGGTCTCAAGACTGCGTTTGTAACACTGCAAAAACAAGTCCAACTTCACATATGATGTAATGTAACAAGATTCAAACCGTTTCATTGGGTTTTTTTCTGCTCGGCCACACACACACACACACACACAAACACACACACACACTCCACCTGAGTTCTTGCAGAGCTAGCACAAAAAAAGCTGTCTCTCTCCATCACAAGGAGAGAGACAGCTTCAAATAAGACAGACACACACTCACACACTCCAAGGCCACACAGAATATTGTAGAGGGTCCTGTCATTGTGGGAGCTGTCAGGATGAACATATGGTTGGGGAACACGTGCTCGAGTGTGCATGTGTGTGACTTTAGGAGGGCAGATGGCTTTCAGCAGGTCATTAATACCAACTACACATCCTGCACTTATCCCATCACTTAATCCCCATCAAACTAAAACCTGTTGTAAGGCGGAAGGAGGAAAACGGCGCAGCCCCAAACTAATAAATGGTGACAACTTGTTGTACATTTAACCCATCAACCAGTTTACGAAAGACCTTATATAACAACAAAGGAAGCAACCACTTTAAGCTAAATGGCACTTTGCAGAGAATCTAAGTGCTTAAGACAATAAATCAACATTAATCCATAAACAGTTTCAAACTGCTTTTAAAGCTTCTGAGAAACGGGTTAAATTGTTCTGGCTATTACAGAACGAGCACCAGGAAATTATGACATATCACAGATTATTTCTTAATGAGGTTCCACCAGAGCACAGCGTAGGCAACGTTTAGCTAATTGTAAAGCACATGTGCATGAAAACGAAAAACAAACAAACAAATAAATAGTTTGAATTTGTTACTTTTTTGTTGGGTGACAAACAAAAAACAAAAAAAAAACAAAACGCTGATGATGTTGGATTTCTTCATGAGCATGAAGAAACGGCCTGAATGTTAATAAAATTCAACATTTTCAATTGGCCATGTGTTTAGCGTTAAGAGCTGACAAACCAAGAGACACAGAATCTAAATCCATTAAACGTGACGCATTCAAACCCAAGATTAACTCATCTCCACAACCACACTTTGATGCTAGTCTTTATATGTTCAGTTTACACTATGGGCATTAAAGTGAAACATTTTAATGAACGCTCAGTTTTCACAACGATTGTGGATCAAAGCCGAATCGACTGCTTTGTTTTCTTCCGTTTTATCTTCTGCATTACACAAGAGATCATCATTATTTCAACACAGGACTTGACTTTAAACCCAAGTCATCGAAGTTAAACAGTTCTACTAGTGCAAAGCTGAAAGGCCAACCAACAGAAAAACATCCTGAAGCTATGAAACTGAAAACTGTTCATTTCCAAACCGAATACAATCCAAAGGATACATGCAGATCATACCGAGTCATCAGTATTTATCGTGATATTCCGAAAAACTCCATGTTATACTTCATGGCATACATGACCCCAGTGGGAAAAGATCCCAACTCTGCAATGTTCTTGGGATCCAGTTAAACAAAACCACATGTACTACGGGTGCTTATGTTATTTACTATATCAACATTATGTTATTTCCCCATCCTCAGCTGCTCGCTCATTGTGGATTTATGGTAGAAATTCTTCACTTTTTAACCTTTCTGCAGAGATCCAAGGGGAGTGATAGAACTGGGCTCGGGCTCTGGAGTGGATCTAGGCCACTCAGACAGGCTTTCAAAGAGCCTGGGCCTGATGGGTAGTCTCAGGGTAGAACTGGCTGTAAATCTCTTGACCTGGAGAGTTGAACTTATCAGGTGTGTTGCAGTGCTTTCTTCCGGAACAGTTGATTAATCCTCATGTCTTCACTTTCCACACACACTTTGGGAACAATACACAGACAGAATGCACTGCTTTGAAGGAAAGCCCTGGTGGTACACATGCAGAAATAAACTCCTACCTGTTCCTGTCTCTCCAGCCAGCGGTCCACCATGGGATGATTGGCGCTGAGCGATGACCGTGCTGTCTCTCTCTGGAATTCTCTCTGATTGGCCCAGGTCCCAGCGTCTCGTGGCAGACTGCGGTACGTGTCCATCCCTTTACCCTACAAGAAAAAAAAAAAAGTATAGTTTTTGTTTTTACTTTTAATACTGTTACTACATTTCTCAGACATATGCCATGTCTGCTTTTTGTTAAGTAAATGTTTCTTTTCTTACTGAAAAATGCACATCAAGCATTAAAACCTTAACAATAAAGGCTAATCAACCTGCGCTGAATTTGCTCACAACTCTTTTTAAAGACAGACCGGACCACTTTGTAGTTGTGAGCTGGTGTGTGTACATCGGAGTATATTCTCGAGCATCTCACACTTCTGATAATCAGTTGTCTGCTTGACGTTTATTCAGCTGTGTAAAAACTATAACTTTAATCTCAGCCAAACCGATTTACTCAGGAACAAATAAAATACTAAAAAAAGCCAAACAATAACATTTTTAAGTTATCTAAGTGACTTATATATATATATATGTTTAACCTGAGTAGCGAAAGACTGCGGCGGGTTTGAAAACGATTTGCTGGGAGTCCGGTGTTCTCACGGCTCTAGTTAGCCTTGCCCCCGGCTAGCTATTGAGCTAGTGGGTAACAGACGTCTCCGAAAACGTCAGAGCGCTTTTAAAAATATGTGGTGTCTTGATAAACTGAGCAGATATTTGAGGTTTACACAGCTACATTCTCGCGTGAAAATATGTTAAACGTTAATTTTGTGACCCAGAAAGAATAATAATAGTAATATTAAAACTAACTAGCTGCCGCCATTGTTGAAAACTGAGCAGGGCCGCAATGGGCCGCGCTATGAATTCTGGGACACAGTCTTCTTCTTTGGGGTTTAACAGCAGCTGGCATCCTTGTACATGCAGTGCTGCCATCTTCTGTTTCAGTCCGTTATTACACTCTTAATTCCTACTACTTCAAACGACGCGTCGACTATTAAATCAGTCGTTGACGATTTTGATAGTCGACATAATCGTGACTAGTCGACTAATCGTGGCAGCCCTAGTCTTCACACTGACAAACACAAGTCGGTGGGTGTCTGGTGGACTCGGAGCAAAACATTAAACAGTTACTTTTACAAAAAGAAAAGGAGAGACAGAAGATGTTGGAAGTAAAGTGAGTCTATCTGTGGCTCAGCAGAGCTACAAAAACAAGAAAATCAAAGATGTCCAAATAGCAGAGTTGTGGCTTCTGTGGTTAAATACAAGCAAGCGAGATACAACGAGCATCTCTTAGTCGATGATGTTTATTCACACTTATTGGGAGGTGCATCTTAAACAACAGTGTGGAGGTATGTGGCTTTAGGCACAAACCGAGCAGAAGGGTGCAAATGTTCAATGTGATCAGTTTCAGCTTGGGAAAGTATAAAAAGCCATAAAGCAGCTTTTAAGGAGTTCTATGGTGGCGAAAACAAGATGTTGATATATAACAGATGCAAAGGAACCTTTAGTGCATTTGTACTAAAAAGACAATGGCATCCCTCATGCAGTTTTGTGTGTGCAATTTCCTTCATTACCATCAAATTATTCAAAATTAGCTAGCGCAAAGCCATGTCTGGTTTTGACATCCAAGCACCAACCTTCCTTTCCAGGCTATTTGTGCCAGACGAGTGGCGAGCTTTCAGGAAGCCAGCGGTGGTCGACCAGCGGGTTGGGTTCTTCCTTGATGGCGTCTCATCTGGTTGGACCCGTGACTCACCGCCGCTGAACGGCCCATTGATGGTCATCAGAGCAGGGTCACTGCTGCGCCGGACGTGGAGGGGCATATCTGAGGAACAGGTCATGCACCAGGGCGTCAAAGCATTGTTGTACCTTTTTGTTTTTTACTTTTCAATGGAAAAGTTCCACTTTCATACTTATTTAAAAAACAAAAAACAAACAAACAACAAAATCCCTCGGCTCTAGCTGTTAAAGACTATCGGCAAAGGCTGAGGAAGAAGACAGTTTGGAGATGATTGATGTAAATTTGCTGGAACACATTTTACGTCTCAAACAATGTGGGCTAATAAAAGAAACAGATTCCATTATCATGCCATTGTGAATTAATGTGAATTATCGCCACAAGTCTAATCAGGCAGCCCTGCTTTACTGTCAGTGCATCTCAACCATAACGCAGAGCAGCAGGCTCTGTGTGGGAACAACAATAAGAGGAAGAGCCTATTGAGAAACCCCAGCGTTAGTGGATGCCTTCCATTAAAACTCTTCACTCTGAAAAGTTCCAGTGTGTGGGCGGTGGGCCAAGGTCCAAATAACAACCTCCAACAGGGGCAGCGCGCACGAAAAAACCGCAGCCCGCGCTTGTACACAAGACACGACGTTATGACAATAAAAATAACCTCTGGAAATTTCCACGAGCTCATTTGATTAGCTGAAAGGGCAGCCATCAGACCACACAGGAGACACGGATTATAAAAGGTTAGAAGTGTTTAAAAAGCCAGAGCGTCGTCTCGGGACGACCACGCCAAGTGTCATGTTCCCATGTTCTCTTCCAAAACATATTGCTGTTTACAAGCTTTCAGATGTTTGGAGATGGTGATGTGTGCTCATACAGGAAATGCTGTGATCTTCCCAAAGAGTGTGTATCTGAGTCAACAGCGTGTGTGTGTGTGTGTGTGTGTGTGTGTATTGTGAGACTAGATTGACTGTGTTCGTCTGTGTGTGTTAGTGTGCCTGTTTATTTGTGTTTCCTGACAAACTGTTGAGTTTGCGCATGAGATCATCTAATACTTTTGTTTAGAGTAGGATGCGTTCACATTAAGTGGATCTTTGTCTGTGTGTTCAACTTGTGTAAAGAATACACATTAATGATGAGTTTTAATTTCGGATGTGCACAAATCAGTGACCAATGTTGTTTATGTTTGGAAGTACTAGAGCCCACAGCTACAGTGGTTGATGAGAGTGTGTAAATGTGTACACTCATGTACTTGGCTCGGTGGTTCTTCTGGGTCATCCAGAGCGTGGGATATGAATCGCTCTGAGCTGTGGGAGGCAGTGGCTCTCTGGGGGATGGAGTTCAGGAGGGGACAGAGTGCGGGCTGCCTGACAGGTCTCAACAACACCTACAGCTGAAACTGCAACTCCCAGGAGGCGTTAGGATGCAGGGGTGCTTCCCTCGAACCGAATCACGGTCAAGACTAATGTGTCCCGAACCCACATCTATTGAATTTGCATCGGCGCTGTGGAAAAAGCTTGGCGGTTTCACGCAGTCACAATGCTTTAAACAAAGACAGGTTGCTACCCTTCTTTGTCATCGCTCATCTTAAATGCCATTGTGATCTCGCGGCACAGCTGCAGTCATTAACCTTTTGTTCGTCTTGTCAGACGCAGTGATCAGAAAACAATTATTCTAACTACAGCACGACAGCTTGGTTAATGAGTGCCGGTTAAGATACCGTTCACCAGCTCAAATTTCACGCTACTTCAGACATCTCATAAGTGAGAAAAAAGAAGTGCATAATGACAGCACCTATGTCATGAACGCAGCTGCAACAAAACACAGAATAAATTACACCAAAGTCTGCATAACTCTTTGAGTACAAGACCTAATCAAATTAAATGAGGAGTTATTAAAAGCAGGTATGTCATTTAGAAGTAATTGCAATATTTAAAGGATGCAGGGCAGTTCGGCAATAACATTCCCGACATAAAAACAGGATTTGGGAACTCTAAGGCTGCAGTGAAGTCCCAAACTTTTTTTGCCCCAGGGACCAGTTTAATGTCAGACAATATTTTCATGGACCGGCCTTTAAGGTGTCGCGGATAAATATAATAAAATAAAACAATACGATCAAGACAAAAACTGTGGTATTTTGTAAATATAATAATAAACATGAATTCACTGTGTAATTGTGTAACTTTATTAGCAGCGTCCTCTTGAAATGCGTCAACAACATTGAGAGTAACATCCTCCTCTCTGCCCCTTAATGCTCTCTGGTCGCTATGGTAATGGGTAAATATTTCTTTCAAAATAAGACACACAACTACAACACGGGAAAAGACCCAGGGAAACTGAGTTAACGATAAAAAACCCGAAAACCATAAATTTCATACCTGAGCCTCAACTCTTGCGGATCGGTACCGGTCCCCGGGGGTTGGGGACCACTGCTCTAAGCCATGATTACGGTCCCCATACAGCGTACTTTGATGTATGTCAAATGTATGATGTATGCAAAAAGTTCCTCAAATAATTTTTTTTTGCTACACCCTCCTGGTCTTCATTACAGCTAGTTCACACAAAACAAATGATGCTTCTTCCTCCCCGACACAAACAGAGCTCTGTTTTTACCTTCGTCTATTCATATCAGGTTGTTTTGGGGATTTTTACCATTTGCACCAGTGTGATATGGAGTGAAATCATTTTATGCCCAATTTTTGTTGTTTTGTTAGTTGACACGGGTCAAAGCAGCAGTCACGCTGTGAGATGGCCAACCTTCATTTGATCCCAGGCCATCTCTGATCACAAGACAAGATGCAACAGCCAGCTTTCACCATCACTGTGCAACAAAAGACTACTGCTCTGTAGGAAAAAAAAGTAAGTAAGTAAGTAAAATTTTATTTATATAGCACATTTCTAGATAGAAATCACAAAGTGCTTTACAAGATATAACAGATTATAAAAAACAAAAAAATAAACAAGATACAAACAAAACTAAAGAAATCATCACAATTATTTCACTTTGATCATCTCTCATGTGGAATAGCGCAAAATCACACAGGGTACACCAAGCTCAGTTTTTTTGCTATGTTCAAAAAGACAATCTTTTTCAAGTTGGCATCTGAAAGCCTCACACATCCACAACAGTAGTATTGTCCCTTAATTATTATTTTCTTATCTGCAGAGGTTTTTCAATTTAACAAAGCCAAGAAAATAACATCAATCCATTTGTGAATTTCGAAAGAGCTCTCTGTCTAATAAGCTTAATCATTTTTCTTTTAAGCTCCTGGGCCGAACAAGAAAACTGGCAAAGCCCCACAGAGTCCAGCGCTTCTCATCTCCTCTTCTCTCCAACATAAATCAGTGATTGAAAGCTAGTCTCATTAGGGTGCTTATGAAAAAAATAATCGAATTCTTTCTCTTCCATGTCAGACATTTTTCTTAAAACCCATTAAAATTCAGCTGATGAGATTCTGAGTCGTCAATTAAGCAGGGTTAGAATTTATTATGAAGAAAGTTAAATTGGACGTATCTGGCAGGTGTGATTGTAGCAGAGATGTCAATTTCTTACTGAAAATTCACAATCAGCATTCTCATCCAGAAACGCAATTAGGGCTAAAGTGTGTGTGTGTGTGTGTGTGTGTGTTATTGAGACCAAGAGAAAAGGAAAATTGTGCTGTCTCTGTCAGTCAATGCTATTTCAAAGGTCATTAGTGAATAAGACAGTAGAGGGCTTTGGTGCTAATTAAAAGACAGTAATGAAAAAAACTCCTTTTAACTTTTACTCTTTCTGATAACTACACATAAAGGTGCTCGACACATCCAGTCTAGAGGTAAACAAGCTCTATGCTGAAAGTGAAAAATCTTAATCAAACTTCTAGTTTAGTGCAGGAGCCTACTTTACAGTGCTGCTGTGATCACTACATGCTAACACGCTAATTCTCTGTTTAAATAAGACTGACTTAGCCACTTCAGAGTGGCTAGCAAGCTAGCTAGCATTAGCATTAGCTGACAACTACCCGCCTCCAAAAGAGACCACAAAAACGCAGCACCAACAAACAAATAAATACAAAGAGAAAAAGAAAGGCAAAAAATGAGCCTTCGATTTGTTTTAATACAGTCTGTAACTATAGATTTACTTTAATATCTTTTTGTCTGCATCCTATTCATTAAAAACAAAAAACAAAAAAAACTTGGTATGAATTAGACGCATTTCTTTTGGACCAAAAAAATATTTTGAATTTATGATTTTCTCTATTTTTGTCATTCAATTTTATATTAATAAAACCATATTTTTTTATATCAACTGTATTCAATAGACGGTGAAGAGAGGACAGGAAAGCAGGGGCAGACATGCGGCAAACAGTGTTGCCAACTCCTCAGTAAGGAATCCTCGCTATTGGTTGTCCTAAAAGTTGCTAGAAGTTGCTAAATGACGTCACCGCCTAATTTGCATAATTGGTCATGCTAATATAATTGTAACCTACGTTGTTGGAGAGAGAAATAACATCAGGGAAGAGACATAAAGTGAGTAAAAAACATCCTAACTGCATTTAGAATTTATTTAGAACTACAAATTCAATTTATTTTAGCAATTATTGTTTTTTGTCATGTCACAATTCCAACCCTGCTCCTTTATCTGGGCTTGGACCGGCAAAAGTGGCCCGAAATAGGCACTCTGGTGGAGTTACACTGTGTGTGTGTGTGTTTATAAGTAGTTTTAAACCTGATCCACAAAACAGCATAACAGTAAAAGAAGAACTGACTGCGTTACAGTCAGTGCGGGAGCAGCGGCTTCGCTCATGCGCGATTCATTTGCAGTTCGGACGCATAGGTGTGAACATCTTCTGCCCTGGGGGAGGACTATCCTCCGCCCGTGAGCGCTTTGGAACGGGTGAGGTGCCCACGGCAGCACCGCTGCTTGTTGAGAGTAAAAGCGATACCCGCTTTCACTTCAAAAAGTCGTCATAAATAAGTCTCCAATAACACCAGAAAAAGTCGCCAGATTTGTCGCTAGTCGCTTTTTAGAAAAAAAAGTCGCTAAGGGGGTCTGAAAAATCGCTAAATATAGCGACAAAGTCGCTAAGTTGGCAACACTGGCGGCAAAGGGCTGCAGGTAGGACTCTACACTAACCCGGGCCAGCTGCTCTCAGCTGCATGGCATGTGGTCGCCCGCTCAACGTACTGAGCTAAACTGGTGCCCATAAAACCATAATTATTAATTATTCTAATACAAATAGAAGGAACACTTCTTTCACTTTAGGTAGTCTGATAAAAATATGGACGGGTGGTGACGGTTGTCTTTCTGTATATTTGCGTGTACATGTTTGCTTGCTTCTGTGCAAAAGATCTCGCTTGATCCGAATTGACAAATCACCTACACGAGTCACTTTCCCATCCAAACTCAGAGTAATTGCAGTAGAAGAAGCGACTTGGCCAGCGAAACTGCAGAGGTGAATGGCCTCAGCGTCACATTTGATTTAGGAGGCAGCGAATAGAACCAATTAGCCACTTTGGCCGGGGATCAAACGGCTATCTGTGTCTGGAAAAAAAAAATAAAAAAGGCACCTCCTGTCCAATTAACAAAATTTATGAACAGGGCGACGGTACGGCTGGGACGTGATAAGGTGATTTGTTGTGTTTTCTCTATACTGCTGTGGTTGATGACATTTGACTCCAATGAAGATGATAACGTGAGGAATATAAGACGAACTGAATTAAATATTAATCATTGTATCTTTAGGGTAATGATCCATCTGTCAAAATAATGCATGCCTGTGCTAATAACCCTAATGGTATTTGATCCAGATCTCAACGCGTGTTCTCCAGTCTCGCGACTTACTGGTGCGCAGGGCTGAAGGCGTGACCTCGATCTCGCTGGCGGCCTGGTAAGGCTGGAAAGCAGAGGCTCCACTGCCTGCGCTGAGGTCTGCAGCAAACAGGTCGGGGCTTTGGGTGCCTGTGGAGCTGGCACTGGTGCCATCACCGCCATGATGGGGTTCCTGTTCATCATATATAGCTATTAACTGCAAGAAAAAGGAAAAACAGAGGAGAGAGCACAAAAGGTCAGATTTCAGAAATATGTAGCTTAATGTTACACCGCAGTATCGAAGTAATATAGCACAGGAAAAATATATATTTTTTAACTTTATGGAATGACAATGCTTAGCTGTAATCTGGATATAGAGAACAATTACAAAGAAGGTGCAATGACAGGAAACAAAAAATGATAAACACCTAAAAAGAAGAAGATGATAATGATGAACGACTCTTTTGTAGCGATACCTACTCATTTTCCCTTAGACTTGAAATTAAGCAGCATTCATGCATTTCCCCCCATATTTAAAACTACACGGGAAAGGAGAGACTTCATTATCTGCAAATCTGATTTTAATCCATTTAATCCAGGAAGAGGCAAATAAGAATAATTAAAACACAGCACACTGTGATTTTTGAAGGTAGGCATTAACACCAACTGAACCACACTGGCTCAAAAATCAGTCCTACTGGGTGTAATCAGGAAGTCCAAATCATAGCTGGTGTTCTATAAATGTAGAAGTGGCTTCCCTGAAAACATGCACAGATAAATAGAAGCCATGGTGGTCCTTCTCGGCTCAAATGCACGGGGGCCGCACATAAAGTCCAAAGGAAAATTGAGGTGATTTAGACCCCCCGCCCCCCTATTTTATTCTATGACAGGGACACACTCATTATGTCCAATCATATTCTCCCTCCACTCAAAAAGCTTCGTCTTTCACTCCACGTCTTTATGTTCAAAGACCTCACAGATCTGATTAATTCCAGCCTCTGCAGAGTCCCTTTATTAGATTAAAGATTACATTCATGCCATCTCTCTGCGACTCCCACTAGGCCGGCGTATGTGCTCAGCTGGCTTCAGTTAGCTGAGGAGAAAATGAAAAATCCATCCAACACGTGCCAATTCGAGGGATGTGATCCGAGCGTCCCTCGAGGTGAGATCTGATGCAGAAGCACGACTGCGATAAGGTTTGCCCCTAATGCACAAAATATTAACCACATTCAAAACTAGCACACGTGCTCAACCGCTCAAACATCTTCAAGACATCACTTCACTTTATCTGGGTTTATTGACATGATCCTAACCAAAGGAAACGCCTGAACTTGAAAGAAAAACTGACCAAAAGCAGCTAGCCACAGACAACATACTAATTTCACCTCAAGGAAAATATATATATATTTTAAAAATACCATGCTGTGTGTGAAATAAAGATATGTTTTTGCAAGGGCTCTTTGAAGATCAGTAATAAGGGTTTCCAGGTTTATCGATTTTATTTAGCGTCAGAAATAGATTTTCCTCTTAGAGGAAGAGTTTCAAATGAAGCCAGTTTAACATTTATAAGAGGAGGGAATTCAAAAGGAGAAGCATTTCACTTCTTCGAAGCAAGCAGTTCTTTAATCAACAATTTTAGTTGCATATGCATCATGAATACTGCTTTTAATATCATGGGCTAGAGCTAATCAGTAAGGTAACACTCAGGAGTATGAAAGCAAAACAATCACTACAAGCGAAGGTGTCTACATAAGAAGCCTCGCTTCGACTGCAGTCAGAGGAGAAAATCTTTTATACTAATCTCAGGAAGTTCTGATCTTACACCGTGCAGAAACACGGTCTAATTTCAACCAAGAGAGAAGTTCTGTGTCAAACTGACCCAATTCTGATCAGCGATGACAAGAGTCCATCGCAAACGCTCAAGTGCAAGTGGTCACACCGGGACATCCAAGCAGCGATTTAAAAAACAGCCGCCACTCAAACCAAGGTCGAGGGGCGCCACTGGAGAAATGACCAAAGAAGATCAGCCAAATTTCTATTTCATGCGGTTTTTGACTTTTTTATGGGCATAGATGGGGAACTAAAGGGTCACACCTCACCGTTTATGAGCGTACGGTACAAAATGACTGGAGGGTTCTTTTAAAAGTAGTATATTTGTTTTTAAAAGTAGTATATTTGTTTTTAAAAGTAGTATATTTGTACGTAACGTATGACTAAAATAAATGAAACCAATTCCATGGCGGAGTCGTTGTGCGTCTATTGCTTCAATGATTCTCACAAGTAACATCAAAGTCCAAACATCATCTTCATCACACTAAAGATGAAAAGAAACTGTAAGCACAAAATATTAACACTTCAAGACATTCAGGCTGCATACAGTGCAAATTAAAACACATCAAGTTCTCTAAATCACACACACACACACACACGGACAAATAAAAAGAAATGCATTGATACACACACAATTACATCTAGAGACACAAAGACACCCACAGAATCCATTAAAACACACACACACACACACACACACACCATTCAAATCCAACGACCATTTTTCCAGCACATTAAACCTTCATTTCAGCCACATTTAGCCTGAGAGCTGTGGAGTTTTATAGCTTGCTGGACAGGCTCCCCTGGTGAGAGAAACACACTCTCCAGGGCACACACACAAACACACACTTAAAAACATTTACAGATCTCAACACTCATTTTTCCCCATTAGTCCCTTTACATAAACGCAAACACATTTACTTCAAATTACAGCTCGCTACAGCCAGAGGCTAATGTGAGCGCACGTTAATGAGGATTACAAAGGTCAAAGGGCGAGGCTATGTGTGTGCTGCAGAAGTAATGAAAGTGCGAATAAAGACAGAAAAGAAAGGAGAAGAGGTGAAAATAGTGGACTGACAAGTAAAACAGGTGTGTGTGCTCAGGGGCGAGCGTGTGTGCGCTTTAGTGAGACTCATGAGAAAAGGGAGTGTGTGCTGTGTGTTTGTAATTGTGTGTTTTATGTGTACAAATCTATATAAACCTGTGAGTGTAGTCTGCTGCTCCCTCATTAAAGCTCAGTTCAGGCCACAAGGGCTGAGTCAGCAAACTCCCTGCCTCCCCGGGCTACTCCCCGAGGGCACCACAGAAGAAGAGCTCTCAACCCCATGTGCTTTTTCAGCCCATGTGGCTGTTATTACATGGTAATCGGTTCAGCTGCAGCGGGCACTAAAAATGTGTTCAGGCTGAGCTTACCTGATATCGCTCAAAGTAGAAATAATCTGCAGCAATTAGCATTGCAAAAATAAAAGCCGTACAGCGCTGGGATATCTGACAAAAAACAGCAGCAATCATAAAACCTGTTGAGACATACAAATATCTGCCGCTAAAGCCATTTTGGACAGATCGTTAATCACATTCGCCCATTATCCCTGACGCTTTTCTGCATTATTATTATTCTATGGCATTAAGCTCCCAGTCTTTGACGCCTGAAAAAGCCTGCAGGGACCTCAAAGTTTTTCGCATAATTTAAATTATTGAAACCCAGAAACAGTCACTGGAAGTATTTGCATTGCATTGTTTTCTACACGGCATACAAATTGCGCATGTACGGGACCATTTGCTTACAGTGAATACATCCATATGCAGATGAGTAGATAGTAATAAACATTTTTCAGTACAAAAACAAACGCTTGCTGCAGGGTACACCAATAAGACACAAACGTTGCAAGAGTGTAGCTGCTAAAAAAAAAAAAAACACTTAACTAGCAAACACGCCTCAAGCTTTCAGAAGGAACTGTCAGGAATAAATGCTGTTCAAGAAAAGTCCCCAAGAGTATTTTTTTAAACCCCAAAATATGCATTCAAGCCTTAATTTGCATTCCCATGAAAAGCTTGTATCAGATTGCAGCAAGCGGCATGCGCCAAACTTTGGAAGGGTGGAATTATTTAAGTCGTAACAATATGAGCAGAAGATTGGTGGTTTGGAATGTCACATTTCCTACTAACATGTCCATCATTTGAATGCAGCACAAGACTTCAAGCTTAATGTTCCGCTCGAGTGTCATACGTAACGCTAAAATGCACAGTAAAGTAAAAATGTTTAAACAAAAATTAAAAATACATTACTTATAATCCGAGTTGACTTTCAGTGTCTCGGTGGATTTGGCTTTTGGCTGCCATTACTTTACACGCTGAATAAGGTCAAAGGGAACATCAGCTGTTGCCAGACTTCCCTTGGAAACTGACCAAACATGGGTTTTAAATAAGTGAATATGCCGTAGCTTCAGCAGTACAGGGCAGCGTTGTGACTGACAGATGCTCCCTCGAGGTTACGTGTTATTTCTGTCGGAGGTTTTGAATTGTTGTCTGCGAGCTAAGAAACAGCCCCGAGTCAAAGCTAATTGCTGAGGTTTGTTGACAAGCACAGCCCTGACCCTGCCACAGGAGAGCTGCTTAAACGCATAGGAGCGCACGCTCACAGGCACAGACACACACACACACACACACACACACACACACACA